GCCCGGCTAGTTTTTTGTATTTTTTAGTAGAGACGGGGTTTCACCGTGTTAGCCAGGATGGTCTCAATCTCCTGACCTCGTGATCCGCCCGTCTCAGCCTCCCAAAGTGCTGGGATTACAGGCTTGAGCCACCGCACCTGGCCTGAAGTTACTTTATTTAATGATCACTTACATAATGGGCTTGTTTTGTGCCAGGCACTGTTCTAAGCACATTACAAATATTAACTTGTTTTATAGACAAGGGAACTGAGGCACAGAGAAGTCAATTAACTTGCCTAAGGTTATACAGCTAGTAGATGGTGGAGCCAGGCTGCAAACCCAGGTGGTCTGGCTCCAGCATCCATGCTTTTAAATGAATGAATAGATTAGCTCTTGTATGGAGGGTTGGGAGGCAGGGGCTTCACCTACAGAAGTTACTCCATTCCCACTCTTGGACTCTTTCAGGTCCTGGGAGCTTCTGGTTGGCAAGTGAGATCTCTGGGATGTCAGTGAGGCTGGTTGAAAACCAGAGGTAAACCGCAGAGGTCACCATCCCCACCATGTCCCAGGTGATGTCCAGCCCACTGCTGGCAGGAGGCCATGCTGTCAGCTTGGCACCTTGTGACGAGCCCAGGAGGACCCTGCACCCAGCACCCAGTCCCAGCCTGCCGCTCCAGTGTTCTTACTACACCACAGAAGGCTGGGGAGCCCAGGCCCTGATGGCCCCCGTGCCCTGCATGGGGCCCCCTGACCGACTCCAGCAAGCCCCACAGGCCGAGGCCAAAACCACCTGCTTCCTGCCGTCCCCTGGCAAGCAGGCCTTGGGAACCCCGGAAGACCTTGACTCCTACATTGACTTCTCACTGGAGAGCCTCAATCAGATGATCCTGGAACTGGACCCCACCTTCCAGCTGCTTCCCCAAGGGACTGGGGGCCCCCGGGCTGAGCCGGCCCAGAGCACCATGTCAGTGAGAAAGAAGGAGGAACCTGAAGCCTTGGGTAAGGATTTGGGGCACAGTACTAGGAGCAGGGCTTGGCGCCAGACCTTATGAGGAAGAAGGACTTTCCTTTGTACAGAGAAGGGGACCCTGTCCTGTTGGGAGATACTGTGCAAACCTAACCAAGTTACTAACCCCTCTGTTTTCTATGCTACACAAAAGGGATAAATACAAGTTTCCCTCACTAGCCAATTCTATTTGCTTCCTGAGTTTGGAAAGTGATAGATACCAATTTTCTATGATTTTATGAGGACTCAAATAAGCTTCTATAGAAAGTGTTTTGTGCAGTACCATGCCCATAAGGAAGAGCTCAGTAAATGTGGATCCCTGACCTCCGCTGTCCTAGGGTGTCTCACTTCAGAGCCTCACCTGGGGCCCCCCCTGAAATGTTGGTAGGATTGCTATCTGGACCTCTGTCCTTGTTTGGGGGGGTATCTTTCCGGAGAGGCCCACACTGGAAATGGTAGGATAAGGACCCAGTAGTGTTCAAGCAGTGGTATGCTGGTGAATGTTTCCCTGGCTCCCTGGTTGGGGAGCAGGGGCAGAGGGAGCTGATTTGAAGCTTCTGCCCATTTCCACAGTGTAAATTCTCCCCCTCCGGCCAATTTCAAGCTACCTGAAATTGATGATGTCACTGAATGAGGAGCTGGAGACACGTGGAGTAGCAGGCTGTTACACAGCCTTGCCACCACACCGACACGACAGATGGTCAATAACCCTGACAGCACAGACAATAATAAGGAGGGTGGGGAGACATTGTTGTAAAATAATTGGGATGTGATGAATTTTGAGTATTTATTAACTTTGTTTTTAATGGAAGTTATTTCATTGTAAGTGTACATAATGTAATTACTCAATGGCTGGATTTAGTAACCAGCTGGACAAAATCCTGAAAATTTAACAATCAGCTCTTAACCAGCCGATACAAGCCAATTCCAGGGCACCACCGAGTCCAAAGGAACCTGGAAATTCCTATATCTGGCTTCAGTTTCCTGAACAAAGAGTTTCAAGGAAGCTCTTGATGAGGGTCAAGGAGCAGGCACATTAGACAGGTTGGAAGACTGAGGCCTCCAAGGCTTTAAACTACCAGCAAGGGTGAGGGGGTGCATCATTAGGATTAGAGATAGGAGCCATAAGATATTCCACTTACTGGACACATATTATATATCAGGCACTATGTTGAGCACTTTATGTGGAATCTTCAATCCTCTCAATCCACTCCCTGAGCTGATCTTTTTTTTTTTTCAATGGAGTCTCGCTGTCACCCAGGCTGGAGTGCAACAGCACAATCTCAGCTCACTGCAACCTCCGCCTCCCAGGTTCAAGCAATTCTCCTGCCTCAGCCTCCCCAGTAGCTGGGATTACAGGCACCTGCCACTGGGCCCAGCTACTTTTTGTATTTTTAGTAGAGACAGGGTTTCACCATGTTGGCCAGACTGGCCTCGAACTCCTGAGCTCAAGTGATCCACCCACCTCGCCCTCCCAAAGTGCTGGGATTACAGGCGTGAGCCCGGCCGAATATTTTATCTCCGTTTCGCAAATGAGAAAGGTGGGGTTGCTGGGGTTGGGTAAGGAGCCAGTCTAGCCTAATGGCTGGCGTCAGGCAGAGCTTTCACAAGCTGCTTGCTTCACCACTTTGTGTCACGAATTCCTCATCCGAGAAATGGAGATGATGAGAGTTCTTACCTCAAAGGGTGTTATGGGGATTGAAAGAAATTACATTTGTTGGCTGCTTATCACTAATCCTGGCACACTATACGCTATTCTAAATCGTAGCTGTTTTTATTAAACATTGGGGTTGCACGTCGGGCTGGCCCCAGGGTAGGTTTGGGCTCTGAGGTGGAGGCCAGCCCAGCACCCACGCCCTCTGGCACACTGGGTTCCTGGGCTCCTGGGCTCCTGCCTGCTCTGCCCCCTTTCGCCAAGCATTGCCTGCCAGGCCTGTTAAAGAAACTGTCCCTCAAGGGTCTTCCTGTTTCTTAAGGCCAGTCATGGGCACGTCACTGCAGGAAAGGCGTCTAGGGCCTAATTACTGTTGGCAGGAGTAAGCCCAGGCTTTTACCATTCATGCCCCAGGACAGGAGTTCCACATATCCAAGGCCAGGTGGGGCAAAACCAGTCCCTGTGGAACGTCCACACATGTTGGGTGAGGGTTGGTGACAACTGGGCCCTTCCTCCACGGAAGGGGCTCATGGTCAGCTTAGGGCTGATGGCATGGGTCCACATCCACAGATGCCCCGGGCACCACATGCCATTGTGAACATGTGTCCACCCAACTCTGGGGAACAGGGAATGTAAGGCAGGCAGCGGCCAGAAGGTCCTGAGGAAGCTGCCTCACTGCCCTGGCCCCTTCTGATGGAGAAAAAAAAAAATCCCTTCCTCTAAACTCTGCTTGGACACCTGCAATGCCTGGGAGTTCACTGCCTCCTAAGACAGCCCAGCCAGGTCAGCTCCCCATTGAGAAGTTCTCCACCATCACTAAGAATAGCAGGCACCTGTGCCCAAAGTCCTCCCCGCAGACCCTATTGCTGGTGACAAAGCTCTCACTGGCCCATGGCAGCCTACAACTCTGAGCGTTGTGGTGAGTTCTCTTACCTCTGAATGTATTCAGAGTGGAGGATCCCCTGCCATTTTACAATCTCATCCTTTCTACTTTTGGGCTGTTCAAGGAAAGAACTCTGACATTACCGTGCTAGGAGATGTTTACTATTCCTCTTCGTCCTAACGTGGAAAATTTTAAAATTAAACATTGGCAATTCTATGTTGACATTTCCCCTAATATATATACATATATTTTTTTGAGACAGGGTCTCGTTGTGTTGCCCAGGCTGGAGTGCAGTGGTGTGATCGTAGCTCACTGCAGCCTTCAATGCCTGGGCTCAAGCAATCCTCCCACCTCAGCATCCCCAGTAGCTGGGACTACAGGCACATGTCACCACGCCCGGCTAAT